TCCTCTACTGATTTAATTAACCTTTTACTGGCACTGCTCACACAATGAATGTGTGAGCTATACTGAACTGTAAAATGTGTACAACTGCAACGTGGACCTCTGACTTCCACGAACTGGAATTAATTATGAAATTATTTTCTAATACAGTTAACAGTCCTGGATGTGAACATGGCAGTAAAGACATAAAAAAAAAAGAGAGTGGTACATCCACACTAGCCATTCTCCATGAAAACATCAAAGGGACACACCATTTCCCTCAAAAACCACTCTGGACAGAAAGTGCAGGCCAGAGCAAGTGATGCCTCTTTACAAAGGGTGACAGGTATTGCAGTGAAAGTCTCCCGTCTACCAACCAGGGGTCAGCAGGCGTCAAGCCTCTCCCACCGATGATAAACCCCATGTGTGACGGTTTATACAGCCGAGGAGAGCTGTCACGAGGTACTGCAGTGCTGTAGCTGCAGTACCTAACAAGTCAGTGCGAGCTTTTTCACACCCTATTAGGAATACAACTCAACTGGGCCATGCTATGTTTCTGTTTCCTGCAGTCATTCATGTTTTATGAGGGGTATAATATTGATTCTGAAGTCAGCGCAGTCAACATTAGAGTGGAAATCTTTCTCCATGGCTGTGTTCACTCTTACACAGCAGCTATAGGCTGACTCCAATATGAATATTTATACATTTACACAGCAACAATTTAACCCAAACTATGATAATTTAATATGAAACATTACAATACACTGAGGTAAGGGCTATAGAGGCCAGGTAACTGAAGAATGGCAACTCCTGTTGAAAAGTTGTATCCCACAGTTGACTTTGTTTACAAAGTGATTTGTTCGATTTTTGAAATGAGAACATTTTCTGTCTTCATTTATAATTTATTGTTTTCTGCGTTTGCTACAAGAGCTGGCAGAAGAGCACAGATTAAGAGGAGTTCACCTACAGTTTCAGGGTCTACATCTTAAATGTAAAGCATTTTAAATTATGATGGATGGATAAAATTAAATTCCATCTGTATAAAATTCAAACCCGATAAGAAAAGTAAGAGGGCATGGTTTATCCCATTATCTGTTTTCAGATAAAATTCAGAAAAAAATTCTGCATTTCAATAAAAACAGCATGGCTGCGTGGGACTGAAATACCCAGGGACATCAAGTGACCCACATTCCAACCCATGCAAATCCAGTGTTTGTATAAATATTGAATATATGATTTCCAGCACAAATAATGGTCCAGTTAAGACAGAGGTCACCTCATGAAACCAATTCCACCTCCCGGTATTTCCTTCTGTAAGTGTTTGAAGAGTAGTTCCTTTGTATGCTTTGCTTCTCTATGAGCGTTTCTATCACTGATAAGAAATATATTACAATATTTTAAATACGTTTCCTTCATTTAAGGCAAATTAAATTATTAGGTTACAAATTATATAAAAATATTTTTAGAAAACTATAAAATCAGGCACCAGTGATGTCAAGAAATGTTATTACTCCATGTAGATGTATTTCACCTAACGCAGATGAATTAATTAATTTCATGAAGAGTCTATATAAAACTGCTGCTGTGTGATCGAGGCTTTAGTTGGATAAATTCTTCTCTCCTTATCTCCAGCTATAAAAGCTCAGTCCTGTCTCTCTCCAGCTGCTGCATGCAAACATTTCTATTTTATCATGGTGCCACTTAAAGCAAAGTTACACTCACAAAAGACATGAAGTTCCAACACTTTACAGCTGGTACATGTCACAACGCTAATGTAACATGAGACGGTAAGTGAGCATATGTACTATAAGTGTGTGTGTATAAATCTGTGGATGTATGTGTGTGTGGGTGTTTGCATATGGCGAGCTATCACTGTCATGTAGAGGTGATGATATTAAATAATTTCTGAGGAGAAAAAGCATGAATAGATTTTTTAATGTATGTACCGGTACGTCAATGTAGGAAGGCAGATATTTAAAAGGAAGATAACGAGTTATTGATAGGGATAATTTTTTTAGGAAATTATAAAAAATGTGAATTTTCACGTGGTTTTTAATGAGAGAAATTAACAATATATAAATATAATAATTATTAATATCTTTAGAAGGTGTAGTTTTGGTTGCTGTACACTGTAATGTAATAGACATTATGTAGGAACAGGATGGTGTCTTCTATTTCGATATGCAATGACTGCTTAGTATCACATGGCCACTCTTACAACTAGGAAACCAATAAAACTGACGCTTTAATCAATCAATTTTGTTTTCAAGGGATTCTATCAGTGGCAGGGGATTATCTTAAGTGCAAAATCAATGAAAGCTGCTTAACAGATTTCTACTTTCCTTCTTTCTTTTTTTTTTTACCCCACTTTTTTCATTAAAAATCCAACAACTTCATGTTGTGTCATAAATAATCTGTTATGATTGATATAATCAGTCCACTTCAATGCAATTAGAGACTTGGTTTTCAGTAAAAAATGTGGATTTCATTTTTAAAAGGTTGATTTTAATACTAATTTTTTTTTTTTTTTAAATAATAGCACAGAACTCAGCTGACAGCCGTTTCACTGGCTTCTCCTCTCTTTTGACAAATATACTACAAAAATGCAAAAGCATCACTTCAGAAAACAACCCTTCTTATTCAGTCTGTGATCTTTGCCCCCAAGTGGATCATTCAGAGCCTCGAAACCTCCGAGATGACCATTCATGGTTTCATCTTTAAAAGGTGGACCTCCTTCCCTCGGATCACGGAGGTTAACATTTGCAGATGCCATACTCTGCAAATGTGCTGAGGCTTTGGTACTTGTCTGTGTCGAATACTCTGTAGAACAGAGCGAATTAGAATGAAATATTGAGTTCATTTATGAATAAGTGGGGCTGAACGGCCCCTTGTCGGAGCTTCTGCATGCATATTCAGTTGATGGAAACCTTTGGATGGGTCATTTCTCTTAGCTGCTTCATTAAATAGTGAAAGTCAAAAGTGCAATGCCTCCTGACAAAAAAAAAAAAAAAAAAAGAAAAAAAAGAAAAACCAAGATGTATGTAGGTGGAAAAGTGGCAATGTTTTCTTTTGCTCCAGCTCAAAATCTAAATGATGAAAAAAGGGCCTTAGCTCCAAAAACAGTTTAATAAAAAAGAATTAGAATTTTAAATTACACTGCCACTAACATGCTTCTCTCTACAGAGCAGTTTCAGCAAATTAAAATGATGCGCAAGAGAAACATACCAGTGTGCACTTAAATAAATTAGTTGTTAGGTATTTTTGCTTTTTGTAGCATTAAAATGCATGGCAGCTGGGACAATGATCTAGCAGGTATTGTTTATTTTCTCTATAATGACACTAACTAACTGAGACAATAGCGAGTTAGATAAAGCCTCAATGGGACACTGTACTAACTACAGCCAATCAGCTGCAGCTTCCTGAGATGTTTCCAAAAGAAACTCCAAAGAAGGTATGCCAAAGGGGCGCAGGGTGATGTGTGTGTACATGTTTGAGAGAGAGAGAGAGAGAGAGAGAGAGAGAGAGAGAGAGAGAGAGAGAGAGAGAGAGTGTGTGTGTGTGTGTGTGTGTGTGTGTGTGCTCATGCAGTTGAAGTGCTGGAGGGCAGGTGCAATTGAAGCTCAATAGAGAAGCCATTGAAAGCAGCTTCTGCATTGTCTTGCAGAATGGAGCAATGAATGGTGATATGGTTTCATGCTTGGCATGTTCAGCAACAAATATGACTAGAGCCGCGCACTAAGGAGGTAAGGAGTATGTTTACCGGCACCTCTGTGGTTAGGCTGAGCTTTCAGCGACTCATAAATGTATATTGCGTGTTGGGCTAAAGCAAAGGCCAGACACTGGAACAAATACATGGGTTTGAATTCTGATGGCATTTTGAAAAGGTAAAGGACTTACTCAGCCTCCCTCCGGAGACAAGCTCACTATGATGAATACTGCCATTAAGAAAATGACTTGTCTCAAATGTCAGAATGTAGCCAGTGTTTTCAGAATAAAAATTGATAGCACATGAACACAAGACATTTTACTTTTTTACCCTCTCTTTAATGCTCTTGCCAGGAAAGTGTAATCATCCCTAATTATTTTAACTGCCTGCCACTCTTTGAGATCACTGGTTTCTTAAAATAATTTGAGCTTTACATTAGAAGTGTTGTAATAGTGATGGCTCACAGTATGATGATGATGAATGATGTACAATGTCAGCAGCACTCAACTTCACTTTTTTTTTTTCTTTTTTTTTAAGATTTACACTAAAACACATGAAGCTGACAGGATAGACTGAATGAAGGGTGAAAAAATGCAATGTGCTTAAATGCCAAAAAGAGTGTCGGAGGAAGAAATACTGTTGAAAAGCAGCAATGGATGCCAGTGTAAAGTAAGGAGGAAGAAATATAAATAATTCAAAAAGTGCAAATTAACCGTATCAGGTATTATATTAAAATAAACAAGAGAGCATAAAAAAACAGAGTGAATTTAACAACATGGCAGATCTGCAGCCGTCTTATATACATTGCCCTTTTCAAACAGAGAACCTCAATCCTCCATCTCAGGTTTCCAGCATGATCAAATTTGCACTTCAAACCATTGTACCCATTTAATCAGCCATTGTGCATGCCCAGTCAACCACTGCAGAATTTCTAAGCAAAATCTCACACAAAGCTATCTTTGATTATACGCTAGCCCATGGGGAAACTTTATCAAACTCCTCTGCTTCCTGTGGAGAAGGACCAGGTGACTAGCAACTACTCAATCGGTAGGCCAAATTCTTTTCCGCATGCGGCGAGGAATCACGCCTTTGATCCAAAGAAAGGCAGCTGCAAATGCCTCTCCAGATACCAGCCCCACCAATCGCGCTTCCACTTTCTTCCACCAATCAGGTCCTTGTCTCCAGCACCAACCATAATCCAACCTACTGCTGCTTTTCCTACCTAGTGATTTCTCCCCCTTTGAAAAGCAATGAAAGCATGAGCCGCAAACAAATAAGCTTTTTATAGATAAAAGAATGAAACGTGTGCCCTACTCACCCATCTCATTGTCCGATTTATTGTCCATTTCCGTGTCAGTGAGTGTGAGCGCCGAGTTAGAGCGACTGGAGAGGCATGAATTCTGCCCAGACTTTGCCCCCGTTCCCCAAAGAGTCATGGTACGTTCCGGTGAAACAGGTTCATGGTTTTCTGTAGCGACTGGTCCTCTGGAGTAGCTGCTGAGTGGGTGGGAGAGGCCCGTCTCAGGGCATAGCGCCAAGCCTCTGCGAGCCGGTGGCTCACAGATCCCGAGCTGCCTCAACGAAAATGTCTGCCCTGTGAATGACAGGAGTTGTAAAGTTAACAAACCAAGCAACAACACAGTTAATGGCCAAGAGCAGGGCTACTTAAAAAAAAAAAAAAACACTCAACCCGTGAGCCCGGGGGAAGGAGAGGGGGCTGTTAAATTAAAGCCTTTACAACATCCTCCCAGGCTACTTAACACTCATCAACTTAGCAAGATGCCCAAAAGCATTTTCTCGAACTCAAATCACAGAGCAGCTCTTAAGTAATAAAATAAGATTTTTAATGTTGCCTAGGTTGATGAGACATTTACACCCAAAGCACATCACCTGAAATCAAGGTTGCATCTACACGTGAAAAATGAGAGAAAAATTTTATCCACCCATTTATCACTTAAGAGTTTTCAGAAACAGTTTCAGACGCAGCCCATTTCACAACAAGTCATTACCATAATTTAGTTTTGTCTTCATTTGTAATTACTTAAGGCTTTGGTGTCGTCTGGAAATAAAATAATAGCCTGCCATGCCTTCAAAGACACTGCAGCAAAATGAATTAATTTATTTTTTAAAATAGGACACAGGTATATTGCCAGTAAACAAAAATACCTCATGTTAACCTCATTAAGAAGTCCCTGAAGTAATAAGAATATATTCTTCATGTTTCACTCGCTTCATATACAGTAGTCTATTTAAAACCTATGATTAAGTAGTACAGATGTTCTGATTGTTTATTTGTATGGTCAGTACCACACCAACAGTCCCTGTCAAACACGCTTCTGTTATTACCCTGAACAATTCATCCATTTATTTAAACAGAAACGACTGGTATTTCAATGTTAATGGTTAATAATGATTTTTAATATTTCAAGGTCAGATGTTCCAATGTTGCTGAAACACACTAGAACAAAAGATGTTCATGGTAGATGTGTACATATCAAAATTAAGTTTAATTTCAAATTCAAGGTCAAAAAGTGAGGGGACTTTAAACTTTCCCTTGTCCCTTTGTTGTGTATTTTGTGCTGTTGGAAATGGTGCAAAAAAAAAAAATAAAAATAAAAAAAATAAACCTTTTCAAAGTCAGTGTCTGAAAATGTGTCCGATAATGTTTAGATGTTACAGGAAATAGACTTCGCCACATTAAAATCCATACCATTTAAAATGATTATTACATTTAGATATTTCCATACATCTCTTTCTCTCTCTCTCTCTCTCACACACACACACACACACACACACACACAATGAGCAGATATAGTAGTATCAACACTCCATTTATACACGGTATGCTCTTGTTTCACTCCTACATGACTCACATTAAATCTGACATTTACTGTGATGATGTAAGAGATGTAAGAAACTGTCATTAACATTAAATGCCCAGATTTGAGAGAGAAATAAAGAAAACCAGCATTCTTCCCACAACTTCATCATAATCCCATTAATTCTAAAATGAGCACCAATTAGCACCAAGAAAATGTAAGGGAGTAATGGATAGATTTTCTAATTGCAATCTTATGAGCCAAAGGAGCGCAATAAAATAGAATAAACTGCTCAAACTTTTTAATTACAGAAATTAAAGCACTTTCCAACAGCCAATTAAAGGAGAGGGTTATTTACTGAGCATTTTTCCTTATTATTTTAACATAGTCCAGCAGGGTACGGACATTTTATAAGGTCATAGTGGTCCACTGGATCACACCCAATGTGAGTTTTCTCTCAAAGTTTAGGAGAATGAAACAAAACTGTGCCTTTGTTTGACATTATTTAATTGTGTTTACCACTGTCTAACATACTGGCATTATCCTGTTATTTCTTATCAAACTTGCACAGATAAGTAGAACATAAAACTGTAGGATGGTAAAATTTATAAAACACAACAAACAACAAAATCCTTGAATCCTTGTTCATTTACTGGTGCCGTTTCGCACTGTTAAACATCAGCAAATAGACATGGACATTAGGATATTATTAGTTGAATCTCAGAGTTATTGTTGAAATTCCCTCGAGATTTATGAAAATAAAACTACAAGATGCAGTTATAAGACAGAGATTTTTTTCTAATCAAAAATAATACTTTTTTCTACAGCCAGGTCATCACTCTATTACTTTCTCATAATATCAGCCTTTAAGTTAAATGTAACTGTCCTACTTTTCTCTGGCAGCCTTAATAACCACCCCACTTAGCTGATATTATGGAGATTCATCTGACAAACACTGACCTACTGTGGGACGACTCAAATAAACATTTGCTCTTGCTCACCTGGCCTGCTGTACTCTGCACTCTCCTTGTGGACCATCTCCTTGACTCTGCCTCCAAACAACATTCGTGAAGGGTCATGGTCAAAGGCCTGGAGCGTCTCGCTGGAGCTGTAGGATTTCTGAGTGGGTACGCGACAGGCTCCCTCCTCCCGGTCAGCCGAGGAGGCGGTGTAACGGCGCTCTCGATCCTTGTCTCTCTCGCAGTCCCTCTCTCTGTCTCTCTGGCTCTTTGACAGCGAGCAGAAAGGCCGCTGCTCCCTCACCCGTTCCATGCTGCCTGCATGCTGGGTATCCAACTCCCTCCCCTTCACTACCGACGCTCTCCCAAGACACTCGGCACTGGATTATTTCTCTCTTTTCTCCCCCTCCTCTTCCTTCTCTGGTTGTGATTCTTGTCCTGTACCGATTTCCCCTCAAACTCCCCTCCCCACTTCTCAACCTTTGTCGGTCACTTCTTCAGTCCATTCAGTCCTCCACCCACTCTACCTGTAGAAAGAGAGAAGAGGAAAGGAAGCAAGGAGCTCAGATAACACTAATCCATCTGCTTCATCTTCAAAAGCACACACTTATCCCCTTCTCACTGCCCCACCCCCACTGCTACCTCCCCATCCCTGGAACCTCACCCGTGAACTCTTGCCATACATGACTTCCCATCTTAAAAAGAAGAAATACTTTTTATTTTTATTCCGCCTGTTTTAGCCTTTAAAATTCAAGTTCATCCGGAGTGTGTCGATTTTAAAAGTTGTCCTACATATTACACACACACACACACACACACACACACACACACACACACACACACACACACACACACACACACACACACACACACACACACACACACGTTCACAGCAAGCAGTTTCACAAAAACTAATTGTGGTTTCACACAATAATCTTTTCAGTGAAACATTCTCAGTTTTTTATTTTTTTTTTATTTTTTATTTTTTATTTGGAGGAGGAGGTTTTAATTTTTCCCATGAAGCTGTGCCGAAAAAAATGAACAGCCACCAAGTGGAAGATGGTCGTTATTAAATGCTGGTTAAATGACACGTGAATCAATAAGTCACACATCACGGTGGCCAGTGGCTTTCTGACACCATCATATCATGCTTTAATTTTTAATTTAAACTGTAGCTCATACAGAATTATAATTCTGACCCATGACATGCATGTTAACCCAGTGTCACATTACATACACAGAATAGCAATGATGACTAGAGGATGACATATTTCAATGAAAAATGTATACCTACTGTAAAAGTGACAAAATTTGTTTGTTTGTTACTATTTCTTGTCTCTGTCTCTTACTTTTGGTTTTATTTGTCCAGGTTTTGAGATTCCTGCCTCCATTCAAAAACAATGGAGGTGTATAATACTTTGTTCAAGGCATTGGACTCTAGACAGTCTACAGAAGATGACAGCTTTCATAGGGATTTCTTCCTTGGTAGGTAGTAGTTCCAGTAAAGCCAGGGTCGTAAAACAAAAAACAGCTGTATGACAAAAAAATTTCAAAATTTTCTCAAAATTGAGAAAAAAAAAAAAATTTTTTTTTTTTTTTTTAGTTTTTTGGGTGAACTGGCCCTTTAAACTGCTGTATGGCTCGATATACTGTGTGTGGGTACACAAGTGAACCAAGAACTTGCATATTAAACAGCAAGAATAATAGTGATATGAAATGTTTATACCAAAATGCAAACACTGCCCATGACCCGGCTGGATATCCCAACCGCTCTGACCGCAGCACTGAGCGAATCTGCGCCTCGCGTTAAAAACATAATTTGGCTTTGCACTCAAACATTAGACATGTCAGAGTTAAAATCCTTAGAAGACTCTCTCAGGTGGAGACAGTGCTCTAAAATGTGGACAAGGGGGATGAGAATGTGACTAATCTGCAAAAAAAAAAAAAAAAACCCTTGAGTGGAATGTGGATGGGAGTCCCGGTGTGTCACAAGTGTTTATTACCAGCCATTTTCCACTGCCTCCTGACACAAAACTGCACACCCTCACACACACTCACACACCACACTTTCATTTCTCTCTTGGCTGAGCTGTAAGACTAGAATATCAGTCTCCTTCTTTCCCCAAATGAGATCTACTTCGTTTCACATCAAGCATCAAAACCTTCCAATGAAGCCAGGATAGCACACTGTTGCGCTGGAAGATAGCACCAGTCCCGGAGAGACCTTCCCAAAAAACTGAGGCAGTCGCAGGCGGAGTACAGGATGCAGGGATAATGAAAATAGTGAGGTTTTCTATGCTCCTTCGTTTTTTTCCCCTCCTTTTCTCAGAGTTGCTGGATATCATTCTGTTCCCTGATGGGCTGAGATGCAATCAGTGACACACTCTCTTGTAACCCTGACACTCAACTCTGAACACTACCCCCCACACACTTGTTTTACGATGCCACAGGACATCTCACTCACATCTCATCACTTTCAGGAAATTGTACACACCCGTCCAGACTGGCAGATTAATGTACAGGATGAGTGCAAGCAGACACGCCCAGAAGCCTCCCTGATTACGATCCCCCTCTTCTTTATGGAGTTGTAAAGAGATCCGCCGTCTGAAAAACAGCTAATGCCACAAGTCCTTCCCACTGAGCCTCAAGCCTCCTCTATAGGAAGAATTAGATTTGTGTCCTAATCGATCATAAGCCCTTCAGTGACCAGACATAGTCTCCGTATAAACATTCCTACTTTATCCTGAGGACCTCCACAGAACTTTAGTAAATGCATGTTCCTTTTTTTTTTTTTTTTTTTTTTCTTAACTTTTCCGGTATCATTCACTTATACATTTCCTTTTAGCCTTGATCATGCAGTTAAATCAGGACAGTCAGTCACCCATGACCGCTCAGTGGAACGGTCGACACTGCAAAATTAGTGTCATGCAGAGGTCCTCTGGCGAGCCAGCGAGGCAGGGAAAAAGACAATTCATGATCTACACAGCGCAGCTCCATACACGTCGCAACGACTCCCATGCCAGTTGAGTACAGTCCCCTAGATGCCTAGTACTGTCCTACACCTCTGCACTTCTTTGAAGCATAAACCATAAACCATCTGTATAATATGGTGCGAAGAACTGTGTCCAAGTCAATTGGCTCTCCAGTGCAGTTGGAGAAGTTTCAAGGATCTAAGTGAGATGTACTTGTTTCATGTCTGACATACAGTATGCTATTCATCAAAGATGAGAGAGGGTATGTTTTATGCTTCCATCTTGAGGATCAGAAAGAGATGACTAAAGGGGATAGCAACCTTTTTAAGAAATCTTGGAACCAATAAGTTGTTTTATACAAAATTAATTAGACCCTTTTAAATGACATTCAATATGTTATTCATCAAAACTGCAGAAAGGAAAATGTTTTTCTATTCTCAAAGGAAAGGGAGCAACTTTTCAAATAGTGCGCGATGATAAGTCAAGTGATTAGTGCAGAAACAAATAATCAATGAACTGATTAGTCAGTTGACATAGTTAATCCTGAATGACTGACTAAATATTTAAGTCAATTCCAGAAAATTTCCAGTAATTCTCTGGTTCCAGCTTCTCCACTGTGAGGATTTGCAGCATTAATCAGTTTTAGATCATCATTAATGGAGGTTTTGAACTGTTGATTGGACAAAACAAACTATTTGACAACATCACCTTGTGCTCTGGGAATTTGGAATGTGGAGTTTTTTTTTTTAATACTCTCTGACATGCGACAGACTTAACGACTGAAAATAATTATTAGGAGATCAGATTTGAGTGAGGGTGACCTAATAGCGTAGCATCTGTCCACAGATTCAAATGTTGCTAAATCCTGATTGGTGCATGGCAGTACATGACATCACGTTTTCCCACCTAAGCCCCACCCACTTCAGACCAGTTGTGTGAGCACAGAGGAAATGAAATGAACAAAACAGTTCTAACTTTAGCAGAGAATCATGTTTTCGTGCAGGAAACCATTTTCCATAATAAGCAGCTGAATGAGAAAATACATTTTTAATGCCTTTAAAGTGGTTTATCAAGCAAGCAGTGTTAATTTCCCCCCCCCATCATTTTCATCATCTTTTGGATGGTTGGTTGGATAAAGTGATCTGAAGACATCATCTTAGGCTACGATGAATTGTGTTTTCTCTCTTTTTTCTTTTCTTTAACAACAACAATTAACAATGCAAATAATCTCACAGCCCTACTTCCAAGATATCTTGGAACTGATAAGGAGTTCTGTGCAAAACAAATTTAATAAACAAATACAACTGCTGAAACTGGGTTGGCACACACCCCCGAGTTGATGCACACAAAGCATTTTGCAAAACAGGAGTCGCCAGCGCTGACCAGAATGCTGAAATGGCAACTCTTGCCCAAGCCTTTGTTCGGTAATTATATTTCCGTGGGGCTGCTGTACATATCAGCTCAGATCTCCCTGGCAGTGACCTCTGTAAATAAAGGTAATAAAGAGCGTACTTGTCGTCGCTGGTGTGTCCCTCCAAGACAATCCACCTGTCACCGAGTGCCTGCCTGCCTGCCTGCCTTGCCCCCCCACTTCTTCTCATCTTGTTGTTGGCCATTTGCCGGAGCACAGATCAGACGGTGCTCAGCCATGGGGAGTGGTGAGAGCGGTTGATGGAGCTGGTGGAGATCAGGACTGGCTCCCTTTAACACAGCCAGCACCTCCAACAATAGCCGCCTCTGACAGCTTTGCATAATTCATCTTGTCGAGTCCCTCTCCCTTTCCTCCTTGACGTTCCTCTCTCCCTCTCCTCTTTCAGTTTCTCTTCAGTTCTTCTTCTTTTTTTTTCTTGCCTCCCGGCGCTTGGAGAAGGGGAGAGGGAGAACCAGGGCAGTGTTCCATCAGATGCTGCCTGTTTCCCCCTGACACCAGTGATTTTGGAGACACAGAAGTGTTTGTCTGCAGCACGTTGCCCAGACTCTGTGAATTCTGGATGCCATCTGAACCAGATTGTGTTCGTTCTTTATCGAGGCTCAATGCCTGAATCCCTTGCTGCAACATGAAGTGACGAACTGTTACCTAAAAATACACGACAAATCAGAGTCAAGATGATCCATTTTTGATTAGCTGATCTTTCAATGAGAGTTTCTACTGGATCTGATCAACTACTGCCAAGTTTCCTTGTAG